CACACACACACACACACACACACACACACACATTTTGTATGACGCACACAAGGGCATATGTCCTTTCATCATCACCTACCTGGGCTGTGTCTACCTGTGCTTGGTTTTTAGCCGGGTGCACATCTAAAGTCAGCGTGTAGTGAGTTTTAAAAGTAGTTGTCTTTAATTTTGAATGAAGACAATGAATGAACAAGTTCATTTCATTGCTGCTGTAATTTCATTTTGGAATCACCACAAGCATCACCAACATCGGGCGCAGTACTCGACACCAGGTCCAATGTGCTAAATGAACTTCCTTGTCATTCGAACATTGACAGAGATGACCACTAAGTAATCCTGTGAGCTGCATCCACTTATTTTACTTCTTCTATTAATTTATTGCTGTCTCAAATTCCTGCAATTTGTCCAAAAGTTTGAACCCAAAAAAGTAAGGTGTAAAAAATGTCCATAAAGAATCACAATTAGAAAAGTGAAGCACATTCCATCCATTCCCCAAGAAGCTGATCGTCTGCTTCATAACAGCAGAACGGGAAACATATGAAGTCTGTCGTGTGTTTCCCAAAGTTTTGATTTGCAACACAGAGGTCAAATGAGAGATGCACCGTCAGTGTTATGACTGAAATTCACTGGGTTGAGGTAACGTCGATCAAAAGCGAGTCTCTGGGCTGCCTGTCACACGCTCTGTAATCACTTGTGATGGAGCCCTGATGAAACGCTCAGGGCGATTTGAAGGGAGGCCCACTTTGACAAGAAAGACAAACATATATATGGGAAGGTGTTGTGTGCTGTTCATGATATTTTTCACAATCTGTGAGTGTTGGTTCTGTGATTCTAGTAGCTGCTCGTGTTTATGATTGTCTTTATGGAGTCCAGAACAGCTTCTTTTGAGCACATTTCTGATTTAAAATAAGAAAGACTAAATTTTTTTAATGTGGATCAGATTGTCTGTTAGATTAACACAACTCATTTATTTTGCCCTGAAGTGCTGACATGGTTAAGCTGGAAAGACACAACACGAGGTGCCAACTGATGTTGAATCATGGCACAGTCTGAGTTTCATGAACCGTTCTATTTTAATTTTATAATAGGATTCATACAATGTAAACTCTGAGTTCACACATAAAACAGCCAAAGCACATTTGCAAATCAAACATTTAAAATGTTGCCAAATTAACAAAACCTTTATAGGTATGCTGAGCAGTGATGCACACAGTGTTAGAACAGTGTTTCACCTTCATGTGACACGTCAAGTTTATCAAGTTCATACAAGGGAACCGACATCACAGCCTCGATAGCATCTTGAAAAATATGCACAACACCCACTGAGTGAGAGAACACGCGAATATGATGAAGAGGATGAGAGGAAGGGAAGTGTTCAGAATGAGACCTCTTCAGCACCCTCTGAGCTTTCTGTTGACTTTGACAATAAATAAATGACACTTGACTCAGACGACATAACGTCACATTAATTTCTACTGCCAGATGGAAAGCAGCACGGTGCAATGCAGGGCAACATCCGGATAGCAGGTGGCTAACAGTTGATTCAAACGACTCATTTTCCACCCTACAAAATCAGAGTAGGGTATCTGAGCAGGCCAGGCACCAGCAGGCCAATCATCATCAGCCATTTAGAAGGAGGATGTGTCCATACACCTCCAGAGCCAGATTTAGGATATAGTTCCTGAAAGCCATTACTGATTATCAGCTTAAAGTTTAACAGCAGCATAAACCACCAGAATCTGTTGTTAATTCAGTCCCATTTACAGACTCTCATTAGATTAGTGTTGTCGTTATCAACAACCAGTATTTTACTGAGGTCTTTAATCTCAAAATCAAGATGCATCTTCACATTTAGAGTAAAGTGTGATCTAATTAGTGTGTGCGGACACTGACTAAAATTTGAAGAGGTGTGTTTGTCATTCCCTTCTTGTAATGTAATTTCAGGTATCTCATTACATGTAATCAGTGTCTCCGCCAACCTCTGTCAGCCACTCACTCGCACCATCCCCGGCAATAACCTTTATACAAAGACCTCTGCACAAGGGTACTCTGCCTCCTCGGCAGTGTACACGGAAGTACACACATGTGGCTTTCACACACGCATGCACCACAGCCACAGATGCCATTAGGACCTCCGAATAATAGCCGCAGTAATGAAGTGAAGGGTTCATCGGTGCAGAATGGAATTGTTTTTGAAAACAATTGATGATGTCCACGCTGCGTTACAGCAATGAGTCAAACGAGCGGTGAGGGGAAGGTTTCTTTTTATAGTGCTCGTTTGGATACGTACATTATTCAGGATTCTCGTGGTGGAGGTAACGGGGGTTAAGCTTGGGAAGTGTGTACACACGTGTGCTCGCTCCAGCCTCCGTATGTGTGAAGGACACTGTATAGGTTCATAGCGAAGTCCCCCCGCTCACGTGTCTGTGTTTGTGCCTGAGTGTGCATTCTGCCTGTTAAATCACAGAGAGTGCACTAACACAGACAAAGGTTCAAGTTGAGTGTAGATCAAATTAAGATACAGTGCAGGGCTATTGCCTGGAGTTCAGACGNTAGGTGTAGATTAAATTAAGATAAAGGGTAGAGGAGCTGCATTATACACTTCATGATGAGCGCGCGGGTATGTGTGTGTTTTTTTGCCATCTGTAAATGCCAGGAAGCTCAAACGCCCCAGGAGTGATGTTCTGTGAGGTTCAAAAAGCCTTTGGCGGCATTACTCCTCCATTCTTTGTACCGTGGTAAAAGAGCCCGTCCTCTTGTGTTTAACCTTAGCAGGGATCTGGCTCCTCCCCAGCTCGATGTCCTGCATCCATTAGATCAGTCAGCGTGCTGATGCTTGTCCTTCAGGATTCTTAAAATCCCACGATCAGATTAGTTGATAATATTAATGCACAAGTATCTGGGAGGGGGTGACCATGTTTTTCCTTCCATTGTTTGAATTGGTCACTCGTAATGTTTGTGATTTTTCTTTGCCATTTGCCAACATGTTACCTCATCTGTGAACATAATTTGCAGCATCAGGTAGATAATCATCTGCAATTGTGTTGAAAACAACAACTCCCATGATCCCAAGCTGCTTCACAACACCAACAAACTAGGTCTTTTGTTATTGTTTTTATAGCTTATTTTTAGCAGTAGTAAACATTAGGGTGAAGTTACCGTTTTTCCATATTTTGATATTCATGATCAGATGTGTTCCCGCCCCCCTCATTTGGATGACATGTTTTTGTGCAGAACTTTCACTGGTGGTGGCGTCTGTCTCCTGAATCCAATTTTAGAAACAGACTCACCCCCCCACCCCACTCCATCACTGTAACATCACTAACGGCCACCTCCTCCTCAGTGACATTCGTGTCTCTGTCGGTTTGCTCCTCCGTCGCTCCGTTTCCTCAATGACTCCTCGACACCGCCTCTGATATTGTTCTTCTCACAAGTCTAATTGGAAACTGTGAAACTAAATCAGCGTGATAATGGCTATCATAATATTTTTCCACCTTATTTATGGAGATCCAGAGCACATGTGTGATATTACTCATCCTGTTTATTAGGTGAAGTACAGCAGAGCGAAGATAAATGAGTTCAGATTAGATTTTAAACATTTAAAATCCATTGAGAGATACATTGAAGTGAAGAACACTTCTTTCCAGTGCCATGTGTTCCACCACATAACAATGCTTTGGGAAGACACACTCGCACATAAACCCTCAACAACAACAAAAGTCCATGTTGACGGATTGTTTTCTCTGTCAGATCATAATTTAAAATGCGTATTTTGGCTTCAGTAAAACTCATGTAGGAAAACTGTGTGTACTGTTGAACTGCATTGGTTTGAGTACATTTAACATGAAAAAACTAATCACAAGCAGTTTCTTGAATCCAAGTTATGAAATACCAATCTGAAACTATTTGTCATTTGTGAGGACAGTGGACTGTTTAAAAGAATCTGCAAATGTGTGCTGAGATTTTCAAATGTATATGTGTGTTTAGAGTGTGTGTGTGAATGATGAGATTTGTAAACATGTACAAATCTCATGACACACTTCCAGAGGCTTTAAAACTAGTTTGTCATCTTAGCACAGTGGACACAAGGCAAATGCAACATTCTTATCGTGCAGTTTTCACTCCCTGATTTGTCCTTTGTAAAATGTCTAAGGAATCATATTATATTTTAAAAAACATTTGTAAAAGTTTGTAAAAGATTACAGCATATTGTATTTCCAGTATACAGAGTTTTCGTAATCTTATCGACCACTTAAAGAGCTTTGCAGTAGAAGCCACATTCACACAGCACTCCTATACACAGCGCTTCTTCTCTTCACACTCATACGCAGTCCTCAGAGGCAATTAGGAGTTCAGCATCTCGCTACTTAGGAACGCTGACTGGAGGAGCCAGGGATCGAACCACCCTCCTGTTAATAGAACGACCCACTGTAACTCCTGACCCACAATTGATCAAATCCAGCCTCTTTTAAAAGAACTCATCATGATTAAAGTTTTTTTCTTGAGTTGGGTTTCACACCTCGATTTAATACTACAGGTCCAATACTTCCAGTTGTTGCTCAGTGATCATGTGGTTACATCCAGTTTTTGCACGTCACTGTTTTGCTCTGACAAACAAAACTTTCCTCTTCCAAAAAAAAAAATCCAATTAACTCAGAAGCTATCAGATTATTTCCTCTTTGTCAGAAGTACGAGCCTTGATGAGGAGCCAGCAGCAGGAGCTAATGCGCTGGCACCTTGCGTACACCGCTCCCCGATAAGAGGCATTCTTGCTCTCAATCTGTTAGCACTCGTCTTCATCTTGTTCTCTCCTCTCTGTTTTCTTCACTGCAGATGTGACTCAGAAAACCGTTACCTTGGCAATCCACTCAGAGGAACCTGTTACTGTGAGTAATTCTCCACTGGACAGCTACTTGCTGGAAAGCTCATACACATGGACACACACACTCACACTCTCCCCCCCCCCCCTTGAATTTTCTTGGCTATTCTCTCTCCGCTTTTCTTTCTGCCTCTCCGCTTCCCCACTACTTCCACTCTTCTGCTCAGGGCAGATGGAGCATTTTAGCACTTTGGCACCACGGGCGCTTGTTCGGCGACAGAATGACTTAATCGTGAAAATGTCAAGTGCATCAGAAGGAGTGAGTGATTGAAGTAATCAAGGAGACGGAGGAGTAAAAATTCTCCACTTGCCTTCTTACTCACTCAAATCACCCGCCCACTCATTCATACATTTAGTTGATTTAGTTTAGTTGACTAAATGGTAGTCTGACTTGTCAACTAACAGGAAAAATCTTTCATTGTGAGCAAAAAAAAAAAAAAAAGCTGCACAATGAAGAGAGAAAGAAAAGAGACATAAAGTCGACTCCCGGTGTTGAGCTGGTCGCACATCTGCTCCTGTATACCTGTGTATACTGTACGTGCTGGTGTTTGTGCTGTGTGTTTATTTGCATGGTGGTGTTGTGTCCTTCACGGTGCTGCGGTACTTAGTGATTCGTTATCTGCTCTTCAACACTCTGCTACTGACAACAGAGCCCCTGCCAAGGTTTTGTCCCCTTTTTGAAATGCCATAGCCTGACACCAGGCTCGACGAGAGAAAGACAGGAAACCAAAAGCCCGGAGCTTGTTTTAACCTCTGTGCGCCACTGGGACTTCTTCTCGAGCTCTGTCACACAGTATTGTAAACACCACAGTCCTCACAACATCCGAAAGGCCGCTGACCACAGTTTAACATGCTGCAGTCATTGTGACATTATCAAATTTCCTCACGGTGTGAAGTATTCTGACTGTAACTGGTGATTTTGAGCTTTGAGCAAATAATACATGATGAATTAAAGATGTTATATATTTTTTTTATGTTAATATTAATTGTATATAGAATCTTCATTAACATTTTGGGAAAGTATGAATGTCTTTGTGACAATCTACCATTAATTAACGATGAAATACTTAATAAATCTCTGTAGGTAATTGTTTCAAACTCTCCGTCATGGTCAGGTATTCATGCTTGTTGTCTGCTTGATGAGAAAATTGTACACCCCGATTGCAGTCACTGGATTTGATTACAGACATTTTCATTTCACTTGACTGACTGTTGCTATGAAGTTTCTTTTGGTCACACATCTGTATTTGTATCTCATCACGCTGGGTTCTAAAAGTGTAGCAGCTCGGTTTGTGTACACGCCTCGGATAGTTGTTTCTCCTTCTTGTGTGAGATGTATTCTGTCATCATCTTTTCTAAATAGACAATCTCCTGATCGACTACCAGTTCACCTTCAGTCTCATCCAAGAGGATGACAATCACTACACTGCCATTAACTTTATGGCCTCACCTGAGCAGGTAACAATTTTCACACATCAAAGTTCTCTGTGTGGTAACATCATAAATTGCTCTTCATTTTTGAAGATGTGACGTGAGTGCAGGACTCTGTTAAATCTGCTGCCGCATTTAAAGACTAAGGTGTTTTTTATGTTCTTCATCTACAGGCGAACAAAAACTTGGACATGTCCATTAATGCATCCAACAACTTCAACCTCAATATCACCTGGTCGGTGGGATCAACAGGTACTTTTACATGATTTCCCAATTTTAATTAAAGTATTATAGAAATGTTTTGCTTCTGTTTTCTCCCTCTGTTAGAAATGAGACGCTTATCTGCTGATTTATTTCCTTTATTGATTCCAGTCACAGTAAAGCAAGTTTCGTTTTTGAATACGTTAACGGATTTAACCTTTAACTCTAAACAAGACATTCTCTCACTGTGTTGTAAATTCACTTATTAGACCAAATAAACCAAAAAATATTCTATCTGCTGTTTGGGATTGATATGGTAAGCTCTCACTTTTGGAATTTTTTTGAAGCATTGAAAGGTCACTGAGCAGGTATTCCAAATCTCAGGATGTTCAGACCCTCAACTCACTACATAATTTCCTATTTCAACATAGAATTAAATGCTAGTAATTTAGCCCAAGCATCTAAGAAGTCATTTTCATCCACATTGGTTTACTTCCATAGACTCATTAGAGATACTGTCCATATTTATTGTCATCTTTTTGCTAAATTTAATCACCTACTTCCACAATGCTCATTGAAATACTGATAAAAGCCATTCAGCGTTTAGAAATCAAGTTTGTTCTGTTAAAAATTTGCTTTAGCTCTTCCTTTGTTTTGTGTTAATTAAAGTCATCACTAAGTCAGTAGGTATAACAGGCCTCTCTTGTTAGTGGGTCCCGTGTCACTGTTGAGTGGACATTATAGGTCCCCTGAGGAAAGACACCCAAGGACACTGCAGTGGTCCAGTGCCAATGTTTATCACGTGCCCTCCCTTCCTCTCAAGTCATCTGCCACTTTCTCCGTCCCCAGCCACACAGACATTTTCCAACCACTAAAACACTTAAAACTCTCCTGCGCCTCGCCGCCACCTTAACCTTTGCGGAGCACCGTCATTAATATTTGAAGTCGGCTCCCCTTTACCCGCAAAAAGATATTGTGTCTCAGAAGGAACGGGAGCCTCTTCACAATCGACGAGAGCGTGCAGCGCCTTTGGGTGGGTGGGGGGGGGGAGAAGGGTGATTTCAATTAAGATAAACATGCTCACATAGCCACACTCAAGCTGTCATTTTCTGTTTTGTTTCAGAGTTGTGGGTTGGAATGTCAATGTTGAGAACTCACTGACATGAGGAAGGTTAAGAAATGACTTGAAACATTGAGGAAAATTTAACTTTTTTAAGAGTTTTGCTCGAAAATGTAATAGTTTTATTTCAATATAGTTATTAAGAATTGTGTATATATACAAGACGCTCTTAAAATGTGCCACTCAATTTGACCATGTAGAAATGTATTCAGTGAGAATGTCTTCCTCTCTTGAAATATCTGATATCCCAGATGTACTTTTTAACTATCAACTTTTAACTGCACTCATGGAAATGGGCACAAACAAGTGCTGTAGTAAACAGCTCATGTTTGCTCTCAAAGCCATCTGCTTCTGGCCCAAATCCTAATTTCTAGGTGTCAAATAAACTAAATGCATTAACTGCTACTGTGTGATATGGATTCAAGTGATAAATAAGTGCCAGTGTGACTCAGTCATGACCTATGGATGGCAGCTTTCAGTTCCCCTCTCAAGCTGTGCTTCCCACATCCGCGTCCATTTCACAGCAGAAAATGAATGGTATGTGTAATCATACAATAAAGCTCAACCGTTTTAGGTCCACTCAAATGGGTTTCATGACCTCCCCTGTTGTTTCATCTGGCTTGATGAACCCATTAATGCATTCATAATCAAACGTTGCAGCCGATCCGGCCTGATTTCTGCTCAGGATGTGCAGTAGGTGAGCTCAATGGGCAGTGTGCTGAACATGTGAACTCTTCTGCCTCAACAGCCGGAACCATTTCTGGAGAGGAGGTGCCCATCGTGTCCAAAACTAACATCAAGGAATACAGAGACAGTTTCTCCTGTGAGAAGTTCACTTTTAGAAGCAACCCAAACATCACCTTTTATGTCTACGTCAGTAACTTCTCATGGCCCATCAAGATCCAGGTAAGGACTGTGCCTCTGACCGACTCATGGAGCCGATAAGGCAGTGTTCAAGATGTGTTCTGTCTCATGTGTTATCACAGATTTATCACTATGTACAGTTTGTGTACAGTCTTCAAAACAGATCCCATGTTTGGACTAGAGGGATATTCTTTATCAGAAACATTCCTGGATTTGCCCCTTCAATCAAATCTGCTCCAAAAGTTAAAGGGCTCTTCCCTGGCCCATACCTCACCCCTCCGTCAAGTTTCAATAAAATTGGTTCAGTAGTTTTTGTGTAATCCTGTTTACAGACAGAAAAAACAGCATTGAAGATGTAAACTCCTCGGTGGATGTAACAATAGGTCCCAGTTCTACACATAAAGAGAGCGGGGGCAGCCATCTTTGCAGATGCAGAGCTCTGTTGTTGCTCAGGGTGATTTCAAGTGCACTTTATTCTAATTACAGGTTTAATGACCGATGGTTAGCAGGGAGAGGTGCACAGCTGTTTTTAAGCAGGCAGAAGCAAAGCACCATTTAACCTTTTCTAGTCCCACTGAAAGGAGGAAATCAAGGTTTTGATGTGGCGGATAGGGGGAAATTATAACACTGTGAATAATAAATGCCATATGCTGTTTTAGATTTGCAGGAAAACAATTAATCTGTTGTCAGGAAAAACCCTGGGTGTAGCCTTACAGGCAATAAAAATAAATGGGGCTATAGGACACACAGCGCTAATGTCACTGACTGCAACAAAATGACAGACTAAAAGCAACGTGCAGAGATTTCAAAATCAAACTCACTGAGGTAATGGGAGGAGAGCAGGCTGCTGCACCGTCAGAACTGTGACTTTGACAAAGCAAATTTAGTCTGTACTCATCTTCTCCCGTATGTAGACAGGTTGATTAACAGCTATAACCGGCTGCAATTAAAGTAAAC